TGTTATACACTCTTATTTATAAAGAAGCTGAGGAATATTTTAGTATTTATGAAAAGGATGATATTTTTAATATTGAATTTTTTAACGATCTACAAAAGTTTTCTGATTTATATTTATGTCTGAATAATAAAACGTTATATGATTTTTATAGCATCTTACTTGAAAATTTACGATTTATAATTGCCTCGGGGGCAAAAACATTGCCACAATTATTTGAAAGTATAGCATTACTAACCAATTTAGACGTTAGATACAGCATAGGAGAAGAGCGTGTTTATTTTAATAAAGTACAAGCTGAGAAAATGTTTCAAATCTTAAATATTGACGATCCCGAGAATTTAGAAAATTATGTTGAAAGTTTAATTAAATGATTTTAATGTATGAACTGTAGACTTTTGTCTTGCCATGAAGGATAACTACCAAACTTGTCTATCTATATATATAGAATGTTTGAATCTGAACATTTATTTATTTTTTAACCCTTCTTTTTTTTTTAAATTTTGGAAAGTTTTGTTCTAAAAGCAATAGCAATGTTGTTTATTTGATTATTTTACATATAGAACAGAACATTCACTATATTTTTTTGTGTTGTATTCAAAAATTTAATTTAAAGGTGTGTTACTGCAGCTTTTATACAAAATAAAAACAACAAATTATGAACTCTAAACATAAACGTTAAAATTTGACGCAAGATACAAATAATCAAAAGCACACATTGTATTAAAGTCCCGTTTAATAAACGGGATAACGTAAGCTAGTTAAACAAATAAAAAAACAAGTTTAAGAAAAATTATCACATTTTAAAAAATGAAAAAGTTTTTTTTCTGTACAATACTACAATTTTTTTGTTTAAATTTCCATTTATTTTTAAGTGTTAAATAGTTACTAATTTATGTCAGTTATCATAAATTACGTTTACTTTAAACACATGTAAAATTTTGTATTGTTTTTGTTTTTACTAAACATGTTTATTGATTATAATTTTTCTTTTATAAACATTTGTATCTGATTGTTTCAAATCTATACAAATGTCATAAGTATTAAACCCTGCATTATTAGGCCCATTATTTGTTACTGATGTAACAATCAAATCTGCACTCAACGTGTTGATTAAATAATTAATTTTTTTATATGCTTCACTTGTAATAGCTTTTATAGTAAAGCTTTATCATTTAATTTATTCAAATGTTTTATAAATTTCATTGTTTTGATTAGGTTACTAACCACCTCCAAAAAAATGCGGATCATATTTTTTTTTGTTCTAAATGTTTTCTTAAAAAAAAAATAAGTTTATTGTCATCTAAGAAAGCTTCTACGGCACCAAAACTCAAAATCAAATAATCAGTGACACACACTAGCATACCATTAGGGCCTTGCTTGTAGGAAGATATAGAATCCCGTAGGATTAATTATAGTCCATTAGTCATAAAGATTAAGACCTGCGCTTAGCAGGATTTGAGGTTTAATGCCTGGCTCAATACACCATTTAAGGACACAACTCAGTCAAGCGGAATGCTACGTCATAATATGCAGCTTTAAGCCAAACCCTTTCCAGGTCAAGACACATTTGTCTTAAACGGGGTGAGAATACTCTTTAACAACACCTGTCTGCCCAAGTTGATGCATATTCTTTGAAGAGTCACGGCTTCTGCTACCGGCAATGGTTTGTCGAGACTAAGGACAATAGCTGTGCCCCTTTATTGTTCCCGCAGCCACGAAGAAAACAATAAGGTTACAATATTTGGCAAGTTTGTATAAACAATTTGCCGCCCTTCGCGTAAACACGCAATTGTTATAAAAGGCTAGGGAAGAAAACAATTTTAAGAGATCTTATTTATCGATCTCTCCTTCCCCGTGTTTCTTAAAAATATTGTAAATAGTAGATTTCAATTTTTTTTGTCCTTGGCATATTCTTAAAAAATACATATAAATAGTAAATTACATCTTTTTAATACACTTTTTTATGTCCCAAATGCTTTTATTTGTTATTCTTAAAATTACTGTTATATAGTAAATCCATCTTTTTAATACACTTTTTTATGTCCCAAATGCTTTTATTCGTTTTTCTTAAAATTACTGTTATTTAGTAAATTTCAACTATTTAATACAATTTTTTTATAGTACAAAAAATAATCATAAAAAAAATAAATATTTTTATTCTATTACTTTTTATATTTTCTAGTTTTTATTTCCCGTAAATCTTGTTTATCAATGTGTAAAATACCAATTTCGTCATTAAATTGATTTTTAGTAATATTTTTATTTTTCTTTTCTATTTTCCCTAAACTTTTTTTATACGTTTCCTCTGTACAATGATATTTATCTTCTAACTCTAATTCAAAACATGGCCCAACATCTTCCAAATCATTATTTTCTAATATTCTACAATATTTAATAATAAAAATTCCTTTAATGTTTGTAATAACCCATGTGTATTTAATATTTTGTAAACATATTTTACTACTTTTCATATTTAAAAGATCTATAAATAAATTTTCTATTCTTTTATCATTAATATTTATCAATAAGATAGTATATTTCATATTAAGTTCAGCACTTACTGTTCCTTTAAAAGATTTTTCATAGTGCTTAATTTTAAATTTTAACATGTCGATAATTTCATTATTAAATGATCTTCCTAAAATTATATGAGAGCTTGTAAATGTGATGAATAATTTAGCCTCATGTGTTTTTAATATTTTTTCTATGAGATTGTATTGCTTAAATGGATCTGTTAACCTTTCTCTATTAAGAATAATAGAATTTGCTCTTATTTTTGTAAAAATATTTTGTATCTCTTTATGTTTCTTTGATGTAACAATTGATATTAAATTATTTCGCTTAGACATCTTAAGGGTAAAATAATTTTATCATAAAGTAAAATATATAAAATTTACAAATGTTTTTTATTTAAAATAATTTTATTATAAAGTAAAATATTTAAAATTTACAAATGTTTTTTTTTCTTAGCATATTATACTTTTCTGTTCCATTTAAATTAATAATAAATTTATTTAGATAAAGTATTTTAAAATTTTCTTATGCTAATTGTACCATGTCTTTAATTTCTGAGTTTACTACTTCTACTCTTTCATTTTTCCAATTTGCTTTTTTACATTAGTAAAACTTCTACTACTGTTGCCACATTTAAATTTTATAAATTATGCTGTTTTAAAAATATTTACAAAATTTATTTCCATGCAAGAAAAAAAAAAAAATTTAATTATTTTGAATTTTTATAAAAAAAAAGTAACGTAGTTTATTATCATCTAAGAAAGCTTCTACGGCACCAAAACTCAAAATCAAATAATCAGTGACGCACACTAGCATACCATAAGGGCTTTGCTTGCAGGAAGATAGGGAACTCTGTAGGATTTATTAAAATCGATTAGTCATTGAGACCAAGACCTGCACTTAGCAGGATTTGAGGTTTAATGCCTGGCTCAATACACCATTTAAGAACACAACTCAGTCCAGCGGGATACTACGGCATAATATGCAGCTTCAAGCCAGACCCTTCTCAGATCAAATGTGCTTATCTTTTATTGCTAATAAATTAGCTACTTCCAATGCTACATACTAGTGTAGCCTCTTGGTCTCAGATTACATTGAGGAAGCATGAGACCTCACCTTTTGTTGTACTAAGATATATCTTAGTACTATTATTTTATCAAGAAATTCTACTCTCACAAGGAGAGCCTTTCTCATAATAGAACAAGTCTTTATGTTTTGGATGTTTCCAAGAATCATCTTAACTTTATCCTCTTTTGGTAGAGATGAGGTCAACTCTGGAATTTTATTCTCGTAGAGAGATCTTTTCTCGGACAAGGCTGGACAGTCTAGCAAGAAGTGTTCACGATCTTCTTGCTCTACCTCACAAAGAATGCAGTGCTCTCTGTAATATTGAGGAATTCTGGGTGCATTAGCTAATGCAGGAGACCATCGTATCAAATTACATGTTATCTTGGTGTAATTTCTTATCTGTCTGTTGTTAAGGATTTTTTATAAATATATTTAAATAAATTTTACACTTTAAATATACATTAATCTTAATTTTTTTATTTTTAAAATATCAAAATAAATTTATTTTTTGCCCTGCAGTGTATGAATAATTTTACTAACATTGAAGATTTATTTAACACAATTCCTGTGACTAAAATATCAGTAGTTGGTATTAAAAATAAATTATTAAGCACATCACCTTTAAATTTAGAACCGAGATATGATCGTGTATTAAATAGATACATAGACACCAAGCCATTTAAAATACTTGATGCACCAGGGATGTTAGATGATTATTATCTTAATCTTTTAGATTGGAGTGTTGGTGATATATTAAGTATAGGCTTGTCTTATTCTGCTTATACGTTTAATTATGTAAAAGGTGATGTAAATGAAATTTATACTAGTGAAGATTTTATAACTAGTATAAAGTCTAATAATAATATTGTATCTATAGGATTAAACACAGGTAAAATGATATTTTATGATTTAGAAATAGATAAAATAGTATCTTATAAGAGATATCATAATACTAGAATAGGATCACAGTCCTGGAATAACAATTTATTATGTAGTGGAGACAAAACAGGAAAAATAGTTATACAAGATATTAGATCTAATGAACATGAAATACTTCTAGGGCACAAACAGGAAGTGTGTGGATTAGAATGGAGTACAGATAATAAATATATTGCTAGTGGAAGTAATGATAATGATATTAGAATATGGTACAATAATCACACATATAAAATTCTTAAGGATCATAAATCAGCAGTAAAAGCACTTGCTTGGTGTCCATGGAAAAATGGTGTATTAGCATCAGGGGGAGGTACAAAAGATAAATGTATAAAGTTATGGGATATTTATGAAGGTAAGAAAATAAATGAAACACAAGTTAATTCACAGGTTTGTACTTTAAATTACATAAGTAAATATAAAGAACTTATTAGTTCACATGGATATGTAGATAATAACATTATATTATGGAAAGCAAGTACAATGAAGGAAGTTATTTCATTTGGTAAACATGATAACAGAGTTTTACACACAGCACTTAATCCAGATAGCACTATATTAGCTAGTGCGGGAGGAGATGAAAATCTTAAATTTTGGAAAATAAGTGATAAAACTAAAAAAGTAGTAAAAAGAGCAAGTATAGGTGTAAGGTAATTAAAATGTTTAATATAAAAATTATAAAAAATGTTTAATATAAAAATTATGAAAAGTATTTAATATGAAAGTATAAAAAATGTATAATATAAAAATTATAAAAAATATAGTTGATATAAAAATTATGAAAAGTATTTAATATGAAAGTATAAAAAATGTTTAATAAAAAATGTGTAGTATAACAATTATAAAAAATGTAACTAACGTTAAAATCATTTATTTATTTTAATCAAGCATAAAATAATAAGAATATTTATGGTTACTGTAAGAATGATTATTAAAGAGGAATTATGTTATGTAAGAAGGTATTACAACAGTAACAATAAATATTAGAGATATTATTGTTTTGGAGTACCGAAGAAGAAGTGACATAAATGTACCAGAGAATGGGGGAGAGCTGAATCTATCACCAAATTTGTTTAGTGGTGTCACTGAAGCAATAAGTCAAATATAAAAGAAAATACTAACCTTTAAATAAATAATTCATTTTGTACATCTTTATTAAAAAAATAGTATTACACACCCCTTTATGAGTAAACTTATAAAAGAAGTATCATTTGATATTTTAAAATCGACAGAAGTAGATCTTAAAAAGTCTGTAGTGGCAAAAAAGAAGAGAAGAAATAGACTAGACGACTACGATTATGCAGATGATTTGATAGAATCTTTTGAAGGGGAAAGTGAACCTGTGGAGATGGAGTGCTCACTTAGTAACTTTTTTGTATTTCAGGGGCCTTTGCCTTTTTCTGCCAAAAAAGTATTAAATTTTTTTAAAAATAAGCCTGTTTTAACAGTAGAAAAAGATAACGAGCTACAGATTTTAGAAGATGCTATTTACAGCACTAGGAGAAAAAGAAAAGCTAGTCATACACTGGTATCAGAGACATTAGATAATGAAGAACAAAAGATAATAAAAAAAGGAAGGCCAAAAAGTAAAAATAAAGAATGTTTACAGAAAGAAGCTATCGTTAGTTATATTTCTGGTAAATTTGATAAAATACAACAACAATTTGATGTATTGAATATTGAAGATAAAATATGGTATTTCATCACTAATTACATCCTGTACAAAGATAATGAAGAAGTGTATTTAAGAAATTTAGAAGTTTTTAACGACAATGTGTTAGAAAATAACGAAGGAATATCAGAAGATAAAAAAGAGTTGTGGAATGAAAATACAAAAGTGATACAAGAAGATGAAGTACATAAAAATAATACAATGCAAGAAAGTAAAAAGGAAGAAAATGGGAGTAACAATCTACATTTTAGCAATAAAGGAGAATTCTCTCATAAGTTAGTTAATTCCTTTGATTATATTTCTCCTAGTTCATTTGTACAACCTAATTCATTTGTACCTTCTACGCCACCATCTTCTATAGATCCTCCTCTTTATGCGTGCTTATCTAAATATTTTTCTGATAAGGAAATCGAAACATTTATAAATAAAATTATAACAAAAATTGATAATGCTTTGGTGTCAATAACAGTTATAACTAGTGATTCAAATATGTATTCTTCAACTAGAAAATTTCTAGGATTCACTGATAATTCATTTAAAAATGAGTGTATAATTTACTTCACTAACTACGTAGTGAAACACTATGCGAGTAATACCAGTCGTGATATTTTATATTATTATTATGAAGCTAAAAAATGCATTCTAGATGTATTTTTAGAGTGTAGTAACAAAGTAAAGACACTTTATTTTGTCAATCAACACTACAAAAATTTAATCGAAGAAAACAATTATGATCTATAACTAATACTAAATTATTTTAATTTAATAAAAAGTATAAAATTATAATCTATGTTTTCTTAACATAAAAATCTAATGTATTCTTAAGTTTCGCATTCTCTTTTTCTTTACTATTCAAACAACTATTAACATGACACTCAAACATAAAATTATTTAAGTGTATCGACTCTTTTTTACAAATAGGACAAACTTTGAAATTATACACTGTACTAGTAAAAATGTACATCCCTTTTTTATTTACACTTGTTAAAAGGCTACAAGAAACTCCTAATAACCTTATTTTATTAGGAACAATCTTTGTATCCAATATAACTTTACTAGCTAATAATAAATCATAACAAATATTAAATAGCTGTACCGGATCATCAATAAGTTTGCTTGTTTTAGACTGTTTAGTTCTACTACTAAATGAAGAGAATTTATAGTGTAGAGTAATTGTACTACATACTAAAGATTTAGATTTAAGTTTTGTACAAAGTGATGTACATAGGCACCACAATACAGTACAAATATCTGAGAAATCTGTAGTGGGTCTAAAAGAAGTATTCATACCAATAGATTTTACGGGTTTATTACTTCTATCACTGAAATCAAATACTGAAAGTCCATAAGATAAATTGAATAAATTAATAAAAGATTTATATGGCAAGGTTAAGTAAATAAAATGAAGATTGTCTCTTAACTCTTTAATATACTTAATATTATATGCTTTAAGTAGTAATTCTTTCGTTGCTAATCCTATGCCGTTAATTTTATCAGTTTCAAGATCAAGAATATGTGAATCAAAATTTTTATCTATAACAAATGATCCATTTGGCTTATTAATACCACATGCATACTTAGATAATCCTCTGGTAACAGATATACCACTTGATATTGTCAGCCCTGTACTAATAAAAACTAGTGTTCTTATATTGTCAACCAATTTTCTAATATTCCTAAATGAAAATTTTGTGTCTGTAATTGGTGTGTAAATTGAGTCGTTTTGCGGTGTAAAAATTTTATATGAATTATTTGTGCTGCTATAATGTTGGTCAAATCCAACTATTTTAGGCGAAACACGAACTTTAGATGCTTCTTGATTCAAAACAGATATATTATATCCAATGTCATTAAGTTTCATAACTGCCTTCTTATATTTAGAATCGTCAAATACTAAACACGCCTCGTCTACGCCGTAAATTTCTATATCTTCGTCAAAAATAGAAAGGACACTCATAACACGTTCACTATAATAATTATACTTTGCAAAGTCGCATTTAACTATTTTGAGGGTAGGACATAACTGTTTACCAATATATCCTGGCATGCCGGCCTTTACACCATACTTTCTTGCTACATAATTACTAGTAGTAAGCATATTCATACTACCAACGGCCAACGGTATTGATTTGTATTCTGGATGATCTAATGATTCACAACTAGCGTAAAATGAGTCTAGATCAACATGACAGTAAATAAGAAAAGGACTGCTGTTAAAAAGTGACGGATATTGTAAAGCAAACTCTTTTTGAATTTTATAAATATTTTGTTTGGCTATATCAATTTCAGATTTTGATAAATTTTTTAGCTTTTGTGCAATTGCGTATGATTTATCGCGTATTTTGTATAACTTGTTGTCTTTATTGTTGTTAAATGTGTCATCTAGTGTTGCTATACCAATCTTTTTAAGTTGTTCGGTTTCTAAAAATTCATCATTGTCATTAGAATCCATAAAGGGGTACTTAATAAATTGCTTTTTATAGGATATAAAATGTTGACAAAATACTTATATATTTGTGGTAAACACTTTATAGTTAAAACGTAACATAATTTTGTAATCTAAGATTGTTTTTTAAATTGTAACTTTAAAAATTTAAATATAAGATAAGCATATCTGAATAATAATATCTAAGATCCAATTGTTATGTAAAAAGTTTAAAATCATTTGTAAATTGTTATTTTCTACACGGAGAAAATATTTTTTAATTTTTTTGAGATTTTACAAAGGCAAAAAAATTATTTATAATTATTTTACTTAAATTATATTGAAAAAGTCTTGTAATCTGAAATTAAACAACATTTACAGTGCATTTTATTTTTATACCAATATAAAAATATCTTGATAGGCGTAAATTGTCAGTAAATACACTATATTTTTTCTTATTAAATAAATTTATTAAAACTATAATATTTATATTAAATTTTTTTTATAATTAATGTGATAAATGTTACTGTGTTACTTTAAATTTTTAAATTAATATTATAGTTTTAATAAATTTATTTAATAAGAAAAAAAATATATTGTTAAAATTTTTAAACTGTATTACAATGTAAAATCATTCTTCATTAAATAATCGATTGTAGTAATTTAAATTACAGATGTCTAATACTAAATATTTTATGTGAAATTGTAAAAATTATAATTGATGATAATTTTTTTATAGCGTAAAGAACTTACTTATTTTTAAGCTGTGTGTACATATTTACTAGCGAAAGATTGAATTTAAAGTTTATAAAAATTAATTAACGCAATAAGTAAAGCTAATTAACATTGTAAAATACATTTAAAATCATAAAAAATTATTTTTTAATTTTTCCTAATTAGGTCTATTCTAGAGAGGTTAATTACTTGCATTTGATTTAAGGATATTACTGAAAACGATATAAATAGAGTCTTTTTCATCTCAAAAAAAGACATTATTTATATAACAATATTGTTTTAACAATCTAAGGTGTTTATAAATCCCCTTTTTTATTATAATGACCATAAGGATATTAATTAGTCATATATTAATTTCATTAATCTAATTATCAATAAATTTGATACTTTAAGATTTATATAACAAAATTTTATATTTTAATAAAGAAAGGTTCATAATTATGTTTTGTTTACAGTAAAATTCATTAAAATTCATGACTGTTTATATTGCAAAACATGCCTCTAATCGCTTTTTTTTTAGTTTTTAATCTTTCCCTCCTTTAATTTTTTTTTCCCTCCAAGAAACAATTAAAAACTATTTAACATCGCTACCCCTTGGCAGTATGTTCGTAGTTTTTGAAGGACTTGACAAAAGTGGTAAAAGCACTACTTGTGATTCTGTATATAAAAAATTAAAAGAATTGGATATTCATACAACACAAATGCATTTTCCTGATCGCAGTTCTATTACAGGCGAAATATTAAATAAATATTTACTTGGTAAAATTAACCTTACAAACGAAGCTACACATTTACTTTTTTCTGCTGATAGATATCAAAAAAAAAATTTTATTGAAAAAACATCTCGCTCCGGTATATTGCTTTGTGACAGATATTCTTGGAGTGGTATATGTTTTTCCCATGCAAAAGGGATAGATCTAGGATGGGCTGTAGAAACTGAAAGACTCCTTCCTAAACCGGACATTACATTTTTTTTAGAAGCGGATGTTAATGTTTTAATGAAGAGGCATAATTGGGGAGATGAAATATTAGAGACTAGAGAATTTCAACTTAAAGCTGCAGAAGCTTACTTACAAATGAGAGATTATGTAAAAAATCTTATTAAAATCGATGCAACTAAATCAGTTGCTGAAATCACTGATATAGTCGTTGATACAATTATTAAATTTCAAAAAAGACAAAGAGAACAAATTGAGAATTAATACTAAATAAATGATTAGTAAAATTGTTTTTTTTTATTTAGTTAATATAACTATAAAATTATGTTTATCTAATTTAAATATATAAAGTTAGTTTATTTTACAAATGAAAAATAAATATTTTGGGCACAATTCCTGATGTAGAGAGGTTATATTTTGTTGTATAAAAGCGAGTGCTTACTTTGAAATATAAATATAGATTTATTCTTGTCAAATATATTACCAAATAGTATATGAGATATTTGACATTTTATTTAAAATTATAACAGTTGTTATTTACCTTTTTTGAATTTTTAGTAATTTTGCTTGTTTTTTAATTTTTTTGTTATTTATTTTCTTTCTAATACGGATGTAAATACATTTTTTACGTTTAATATTTATAACTTTATATATACGAGCCAAATCTATATTTTGTTTTTGCATCTTATGTTTTCATCGTCAAGAAGTAAGTTTGGTAAATTTAAAGAGTATATTATTCTAATATTTTTTCAATTATAGTTGTTAAGTTTATTTTAAATTTAAAAGTTTTAATTGCTTTAGAGGTTGGTTTTATTACATTAGATTTTTTATCCCCAAATACATTGCATTGATAATGATTCAAAACATTTTGTTTTCTTATCTCGTTCAAGTTTTTAAATATTAAATTTGCATATAAAGTTAATAATAAGTATAAATTAGATACAATTTTTTTAGTATACTAAAAGAATATGCTAGTACTAACCTTTCTATCAATATTTAGGTTAAATATTCTATATATTTATCTAAAAAACAATAAAAGTATATTGCAAAATGTAATTAACTTTATTTTATCTGCTAAAAACATTAAAACGTTATAAATAGTACCTTAAATACTTATTTGGGGTAATCACTGGGAATGCGGCTAGTGGCGAAATAAGACTTTTGCATACTTAGGGATAGGAGGCATGTTTCTACGGTCCCGTAGGTAAAATTAGAAAATAGTTTTGCAAAGTTGTGATGATCTAGGGCTACAATCTTTTTACTGTATTGGTAATTCATTAAGAATGTAATAATCTTTTTTTATAGTTTTATAGTAGACATATTGCAAAATACGTAATGATATTAACAAGGAATAAATCAATCAGTAAATACAAATAAATTAAAATAACAAACAAATAAGATAAAATCAACATATTTGATATAAAATTTAAAATATTATAACATTATAACGTCAAATATATCTGTATTTAAATTTAAACAATATTTTGTTGAAAAATAAATTAACTAATTTTTTGATTATCTATCTAGTTATACACCAAAAAAAATTTTATCTTTTATTAAATTATTTATGGATATATTATATTGGTAAATTGTCTATTTGTAATTTAATCTATTTCTTTAAAATTTATTGGTTTAGTAAAATATAAATAAAATTATGTAATGTAACGATTAGATGATAGAAATTCGCGATCTTATAAATCAAGCATTGGATGAGGAAATGGGAATGGATCATAATGTATATATAATAGGAGAAGAAGTAGGCATCTCTGGTGGTCCTCACGGTCTTACTAAAAATTTGATCAAAAAATACGGCGATCAAAGAGTGAAGGATACCCCTATTTCGGAAATGGGATTTACAGGTCTCGCTGTGGGTTCAAGCTATTTAGGGTTAAGACCCGTAGTAGATTTTATGACTTGGAATTTTGCTTTGCAATCAATTGACCATATTATTAATTCTTGTGCGAAAACCTTGTATATGTCAGGAGGAAGAATACAATGTCCAATTGTTTTTAGGGGACCAAATGGATTCAATAATGGGTACGCTGCACAGCACACACAAGATTTTGCACCAATATATGGTTCTATTCCAGGCCTTAAGGTGGTTTGTCCTTATACGGGTAAAGATCATAAAGGACTTTTAAAAAGCGCTATTAGAGACAATAACCCGGTTATATTTCTTGAGAATGAAATATTATATAAAGATAAATACCTTGAAGTGTCTAATAATTATATTCAACCACTTGACAAGGCAGTAATTGAAAAAAATGGTGTTGACGTTACAGTTTTAGGAATATCAATAAGTCTTAAAGAAATTTTTAAAGCAGACAGTTTGTTAGAGAAAAAAAATATCGACATTGAGATAATTAATCTTGTGTCAATAAAACCAATTGATTATGTTACTATTGAAATATCAGTCAAAAAAACACAAAAGTTAGTGATAGTTGATTTTGCATATCCTACTTTCAATATTGCGAGTGAAATAGCTGCGCACTTTTACGAAAAATTTAAAGATATAAAAATTATGCGTGTTCTTGCGCAAGATATTCCTACACCGTATGCACTTAATCTTGAAAAAATGTCTTATCCGACATGCAATGATATTGTAAATGCTGTTACAAAAATAAATTCATAGATAGTTATAAATTCGCGTATATATACATTATAAAAAATATTAAATCTTTTTAGACTCTTTTTAACACTACAGCAAAAATCAACTTATTTATTTAAGCTAAAGAACCTATTCAAACTGACATTTAGATTTTTACTAACTAAAATTTAACTTTATTTTTTTACCCTTAATGACACAGAAATTTGAAAATTTAAAAAAGATCGAAAATAAAATAAATGAACTTTGTTTATTAAAAAAACTTCAAGTCGAAGCTGAGCATCGTAAAAGAATTAAATGTGTCAAAACTTTACGGTTATTTATTAATACCAATGTTATTAAAGAAAAAATATTTATAAGGATTGATTCCAGGGTAATTAATGATTTTAAGAACTCAGAAATAATGAAATTTAGTGATTTAATTGAGAGGACATATATTTTTACTGAGGAGATTATTCCTACAGATGCTACTACTGAAAATATATCTCTATCAAATCAAACTGGTAAAAAATATGATAGTGAAGATAGTGGTTATATCTCCCAATGTAAACAGCCAGGTAGTAGTTTTGTTCAAGAAGGAACATTTTGTAAGAATGTTGATGTTTATGAGTGGATCAATCAAGATTCTTTTATTGAATCTTTTGAACTTAGATGTCCGAGTTCTAAAATAAATATAAACCTTGTTTTGGTACTAAAAAATACTCGCAACATTTACAAGCTTAGTTTATCTTTAGCTTCTTTACTTTCTGTAGCTTCTTCTACTAAACCTAATTTAGTTGGTTTATTGTACAAATATGTGGCTAGAAATTCTCTTTTAGATAAAAATAATGTTGTTAAGTGCGACGAAGCACTAAAAAACGTTTTTTTAATAGATTCATTTGTTTTTACTGAACTACCAGAATTATTAGAAGAGCATTTATTTCCTATTGACAATATTGAGTTTAATTTTATATGCAATGATGAAAATAAATTTCATTGTATAGATATTCCTTTAGAAGTGGATGACCTTTATCAACAACCTAAAATTTATGACAAAGGTGTTTACGCGCTTGAAAGAAAAATTGATTCGGTCAGTAAAATTAAAACCAACTTAGAGAAACGTAGTACTATTATAAAAGAGTTTATTGAATCTCCAATAAATTTTATTAATAAGTGGATTTGTTTAGAATTAGAAGATTTTTCTAATAAAACAAATGTATTTAGAGATGACACAGTACAAGAAATTATGTATGACTTACTTAAAGGTGTAATTTAATTCTAAAAACATTAAATTAATTAATATATTGTTTTTAATTTATTTTTTTTAAAGCAGTGAACAAGTAAGCTAAATAAAATCTTTGATAAATTTATAATAATTATTGTTACAAGCACTATTAAAATGTGTATTTCCATGTAAATATCTAATAATTCCATTTTTACAGTTAAGTGCTAATTGTTCTCCATTGGCATTCTCAACAAGTTTATCGTCTGTAGATAGCAAAAACAAAACAGAATCTAAACCAAAAGTATTGTTTTTCCATTTGTCTACAATAAGAAATGTAAACCACTTCCAAATAGGTAATTTTTTTACTGTACTTTTATAATCAACAAAAGGATTCTCTAGTATACATTTACCTGGTATCAGATTATTCAAATAAATAGCAAGTGAACATCCTAAAGACTGGCCAAAAAAAATGTAGTTTCTATTTTTCCTCGCTTTAAAATATTCTACTAAATCATTTAGTTCTTTTTTTATACTTTTTTCTGATGGCACGCCTCTTTTGTTGAACATGCCTCGTATATTGAAGCTTATAACGTTACAACCAGTATTTTCTGCCATTTTATCAAGTAATCTTTTATAAGTCTTGCCAGATATTATAGAACCATGGCAAAATACAATATCAGTTTCTGATTTTTTGTCTATAAAAAATAGGTCTATTTTTTTGTAAGTCTCGTAAATTGGAATTTTGTAGTAAGAAAACGTTTTAAACATAAATTGTCTTTGAAAAACAAAAATAAAAAAACAAGTTTGTAAAGTCAAAACGCATATCAACGACAAAAAAAAATATGGTATTTTTTTCATAAGATAATATTTGGAAGGGCTAAAGTTTACATTTTACTGATTTAGAAATTTTTATTAGACAAAAGATTAAATGGAAAATTTTATTATTTTTTTATGCATCAGTAATGTAAATTTTAATCTTGTGATTAAAAAGCCAAAAATCAATATAAAAGTTACATCAATAATTATTCTTAACTTAATCTTTTAGTTAAAAAAAACAAGATGAATACTCACAATTTTATTGTTCTGTATTTTACAACAAATGTTTTATTAAAGTGATGATGAGCAAATATGTAAAATGTTTTAAGAACTTTTGGAAGTATTTATAAATTTAATATAAAAATGTGAGCAAATGAAGCTTTTCTTTTAATAGACATAAAATACAAATGCTGATTTAATTAGAAAAAAATAAAGAAAAATTGGTAACTCTTTTTATTAAATAAAACGAAACAATTTTTTATTTAATTTTAAAATGTTGATTACTTTTTGATTATATTTACCTTTTTTGTTCTATTAATTGTATACATTTTATCAAATGTAGTCATAATACAATGTTTTTAAATATATGATAAAAGATTATTAGTTACGCTTAGTTGAAATTTGCTAGCTAAAACAATATATTCTTATTAACAGAATTTTTTCTAATAGTATCTGTCGTGCCTACGCGGGATAGTGCGGCTTCTTAAGAATGAAAGATATATAAACTTGTGTTTAGTAAAAGCTTTCATAGAGAACATATTGTATTTAAAAGTTTCTTTAAATACTTTTATAATTAATAATAGAATTTCATTAGTTACTGGAAGAACCAATACTTTATTGTAATTAAAGATTCTTTGATTGAATACCGTCGGTCAGCTCTTAAGGAGTATGATAATATTACAAAACAAAAATTTTTAGCTTACTTACAAAAAGTTACAATACACTGTATTTGATTTTAATTATGTTTGCAATTAGAAATTTTTACTTGCTATAGAAGCTTATTAAAGTATGTATTTTATTCAATTTTTTATAATTATGAGTAAAAGTAAAATAATAATATTTTAACCATTGAGGAAAAAGGAGTTTTCTAAGTGAAGGAGCTTTTAGAAATAAAAAAAAAGCAAAAATGTACAAAAGATTGACTGAAGATTTAGTAATATAGATAATCGTGGTGTATGTATATGTAGTCTAAAAAAATTACTTGCTATGGAAAAATAATCTGACGAACTGACCTTTCTTCAATAAAACAAAAAAATCAATGTTATTATATATAAATCTCTTAATCGTAAACTTATAAACTTAAAAAATTTTTTTTTGTATTTTAAAAAAATTCCTCGTCCGGGAATCGAACCCGGGCCCCCGGTGTGAAAGACCGATATCCTAACCACTGGACTAACAAGGATAAATTCGCAATTTTTATGTATTATGTTTACTTACTTGTGTAGAATTTACATGAATAATAAAGCCATGTGTGAATATAAATAAACTTGCATGTAAATAAAAAAAATAGTAAATGTCTGCTTGCTTAAGTTTATTTCATTTTCCAAAAAGAGGGTGAACCGTCTTATTAGTACCGAAGTTTTGTATACTGTCACCTCAGCCTCTTACAAAAAAAAGATAACTTTTAAAATATTCATTATTAAATGAGTTTATGAATATTTTGTGTTATACGGCTATAATTAATGTTAAAATTCTTTCAGCTAAACATAAAAAATTATTAACTTATTTTTTTATTCATATTTTAAATGTCAATAAATTTAATTAACAATATTTAAATGACAATATAAAATATGTTGAATCATTGTAAGTAAACTTTACAATATATTAATATTAAAAATCTAAATAGTTTCAAAACAAAAAAAATATTTACAGGTAATATTTAAATTTTGTATTTATATTTTATTTTAGTTACACATTAAACCTTTTAAAATTGTATAATTCATTTTTATACCCCTTTTATGCTACATAAAGAAAATACAAGCAGTCAAGAAATTTCTAGAAAGGACTTTTTTTATTCTTTAGATTTTGATTATGACGATGGAGATAAAATTGACATTGAAGAGTGTGAAAATCTTTTTGTATATTTTTTAGAGATCTCAAAGGATCCTTTTCTTATAATTTTACAAAGATTTAAAAGTCATTTTTCTGAAATGCATAAATCATTTTTAATAGAAAAAATTGAGACTTTTGAGATGCATGAACATCATTTTGATTACATTGTCAATCATTCGTCTTTTGATTCATTAGATCTTTTAACATCGCTATCAACCGATTTTTATAAGCCATTTTGTAAATATTTAGTTTCTAAAAGACATTATTTTTTTCTTGAAAATATTTCAGAATATCCTCAAATTTTAGAGATATTCACTGATATTAAATTCTGGTCACCAGTTCCTTGGTTTGTTTTAGATGAGGATCGAATTGATTTGGTGTATGTAATCATAAAAAAAATGATATGCAATAATTTGAAAATAAAAGAAAATTTTATTTCTTGCATAAAGGAAATAATAAAAAATAATCAAGATAGGAATAAAATGTTTCACGAAAAAGGAAATGTTATAAGTGATAAAGAAGCTTATTATTACAATTTACTAATTAATAAATTTTTAGATACTATAATTTCTAGAAATTTAAAGATATCTAAAGACAAGGATTCTTTCACTAATTTTGTCATCTTGAGTAAAATTGAAATATTTAGAATAAGTTACATTAAAATGATAGAAGAAAGGAAATTATTAAAAATGGAAGATGAAAATACTGATGAAATTGATAAAATACTAAAAAATATTGTAGATGAAAAAAGATTTGGAGAATATTTAGGATTAATGATTTGTGAAAATAAAAATGAATTTTTGACTGAAGGTGATGATGAATTGAATCAATTTATTCACTATAAGACTGTTGGTGCGGTATATTTATATATTTACGAATTTTTTACACCTGATGTGGGTGTTCTTACTTTTTTATTTCAGTTTGATATTTTTAAACAGCAAATTTTAAGAATATTGATTCATAACTCAGATCTTATTAAGTTTAGTTTATTAAACAGCATTATTGACTATTACAATAAAGTACAAAAAGAAGGTCATAAAATCGAAATAAGACATCTTGTAAATTTAATATTAGTAGAGAAGTCAACCTTCTCTCTAAAAATCTGTTTAAAAAATATAAAATTTATAAATTATCTTATGAGTGATTTTGAATATTGTCTTAGTAACGGGCTTATAGGCATTTGTGAAATCAATGAAGTTCTTAAGAAAACTGCAAATATAAAGAATTCTTATGAAAATTTAGAACTACTTAAAGACCTTTCATTGGACATAAGACGTTTGAAAAACAAAATTTCCTCTTCCTTTATATTTATTGAAACATGTTTTAGATTGTTATTTAAAATTATTGATACTAATGTTGATATTTTAATTGTAGATGAATTGATTGAAGTTTTTGTAAAAATTTTAAATTGTAATTTAAAAACCATTGTAGGGCCAAAATGCAGTGAACTTGTTTTTAAAAATCCTTTTACAAAAAAAGATCATCCTTTTTCTAGAATTACTAGGGAAAGTTTAAAATTTAATCCAAAAGAATTATTAAGAAATATACTTTTAATCTACATAGAAATTAAAAGCGTTAAATTTATTAAGTTTGTTGCAAAAGAAGAAATGTATTACGATTTAAATTTATTTAATGTCGGTTTAGAAATTTGTGAGAATAAATTTCTGCTAAATAATTTACAGATTGACAATTTAAAAGTTTTTATCAAAAAGTTAGAACAGTATACACAAGATGCTACTGAAGAATTTGATGCAAATGATGCTTTTATAGACCCATTGACTTTTAATGTTATTAAAGACCCTGTAAAGTTATTAACTTCTAATGTAACAATTGATAAGAGTACATACAATATGATAATGTTAAATGATGCAGTTGATCCTTTTAATAGGTTGCCTTTAGATGATACAAAGGTTGTGGAAGATGTAGAAATGAAAAAAAGTATACAGTTAAAATATAAAACCAAAAATAATAATATTTAGAGAATTAAACACATTATCAATTTTGTAATTTTTAGTTTAAATATTGCAAGTTATTATTTTCAATTTTAATAAAAAATAAAAAAAAATTATTGTCATCTTAGAAAGCTTCTCCGGCACCAAAACTCAAAATCAAATAATTAGTGACACACACTAGCATACCACTAGGGCCTTGCTTGTAGGAAGATAGGGAACCCCGTAGGATTAGTTAAAATCCATTAGTCATAGAGACTAAGACCT